TAATATGGATATACTATGGATTTAGACATTTACGCCCGTATTCTAAAATCTCACTCACACTCAATGAGTCGAGGTTCAATCTGAGCTTTTAGAATACGGGCGTTAGTGATGCAATTGCAAATTTCATTGTATGGATTTCATTATTTTTTCCAGCGATATGTGTACTGTCGTAGCTAGCCTCCTTATGTCGTAGCCACTAAGAAATTCTACGTTACCTCCAGACTTCACTTCGCTCGAGCGTTTCCCACAGTTTGAACAGTTGATTGCCATAAGTATCACTTGTTTGAAAAAGGGAATATCTTAAAATGTTAAGAAAACTTAAGAAAGAATAGTTTTGTTCGGTTTAATTACTTAGTGGTGAATTGAAATAATTAGATGTACATGGGAGCAAAAGCGACGACAGGCCAAGCCGCGACCTGCTGCAAATCGACCGCGTTTATCCCAGTCGTTTGCGATTTATTTATGCAGCAGCTTATTCGGGCCTTCTGATATCCATTGCTAGAAATATGTAAACACCTGTGCTATAATACGCACACTCAAGGGACACAGCAAAGTGTCCGAGTGTGCTGTTGGCCTTGATCCAGGGATTCCAACAGAATTTCCATCAACAAGTGTTTGACATTATTATAAGCGGCGCAACAGTAGGCCCATACTCCATATGACCAACAATTACCACGGAGAATGAACCTCATTTCTCTCCAAACACTTAACAATAGCTTTACAGTAAAATATAAGTATATACCAACTGAAGGCTGCATGTTCACGGCCCAAATGAAAAAAATGAATGACTTCATTTCGTTCGGACATACATGTATCTGTTCATTCAGATTCTTTATCCCCGAGCCAACGGCGCGAAGCGCCATTCCGGGCGTAAGCCCGGGGCGAGGGTACTGATTCCGCTCGGCTAATTACACCCGTGGAAAGGAAAGGAAAGGAAAGGAAAGCATTAGCGAAGTTTGAAGTTCATCAATATCGCGGGCGTCTGGCTATGATCCAAGGGTGGACCTCCCACTGCATGATCTCAAAGATATGGTGGACTGTCAAGGAAATAGCGAACACTGATTGGTCAAATTTAAATTTCGCTTTATGATGACTGCATCACGACAGCATAATAACAGACACTATTTGAAAATTAAACAAGACGCTCTACGGAGCGTAACTCGCTGGGGCTATACTAGACTTGGTTGAAGTTATAAGGTTTTCCCCGAGCTAAGCGGAAAAGTCGAATACCGGCGCGAAAGGCTTAACACAGTACTAAAATGCGGTAGGCCCTACAAGTAAAGTTATATTTAGTACGCTACATTCTATTTCTTCAAGACTGTCAGCCGCCAGTTGGTCCATACGCTAGGATTAAACTGCACTTTAAAACGTTCAAAATAAAATATTTGGGGGCTTTTGGGCTCAAAATGAAGAGACGAATCCACTGGTATACGGCCAAAAAAGAGAAAACCAATGATACCAAAGGCAAAGTTAATATCAAGGTCAAGGATCAAACGTACTGCATTTTTTTATAATTAGTTTAATAATTTTGAGCGATTTGTCAATTCAATACAATACAATTTCGATTGTGTACTCAGGTGAACATGATGTTTGTGATGTTACTCTGAGTGTGTATCCACACCGGGAAAGCTTGAAAAATATGCCTGGATATTTTTCAAGCTTTCCCGGTGTGGATAACACACTCAGAGTAACATCACAAACATAAACATAATACAATTTCGCTTGGCTTTCAAAGACAAAGGCCATAAATCGCTAGAATACTGTTTTTATAGTAATACTGTACATTTGACATCCGTAATTAGTACGATTTGAATCGAACGGTGGTATTTTTATCCTTATTGCGCCATTAGGCATTACAAATACACTATGAAACGTACTGCGAGCGATTTGTAAACAATACAATTTCGCTTGATTTTCAAAGGCCATAAATCGCTAGAATACTGGTGTTTAGTAATACACTTGACATCCATACAATTTCGCTTGATTTTCAAAGGCAATAAATCGCTAGAATACTGGTGTTTAGTAATACACTTGACATCCGTAAGTACAATTTCTTACGCTGAATCGAACGGTGTGCCAAACGTAACTTGCGATTTGCAAAGGTTGCTGTTTTCATGTCGAAATTCCTTGTAAAATTGTTCAATTTTCCCGAATTTTCCTCAAAATGCAGGGTTATTTATGGCTAATTTGGGTCAAATTGGCAGGAGCCTTATGGATAATTGGGGGGAAACTAGGCAGCTCATTAATATTCTATTTTGTGGCTATCGACGATTGGAGATCCACTATCCATGATCCGTGACAAATGCATGCCGAAACCTATACTCGCCTGGGCACAGTGCCCCAGCGAGTAATAACAAAATATAAGGTAAGTTAAAAACAGCAAAGCTTTACCTACCTCGATCTATTTTGCTAAGACGCTCAATTATGTACATTTTCGGCGAATAATCAATATTTTCTTTGCGTTTCCTCGACGAAAACCCACATGAAAATGCTCGTCAGAAAAACTGGGTATTTGTCGTATTTTACGGATCTGCCACGTGATTTACGACCACCGGTACGCTGCACGATGACACGAAATATAACATGCATGCAACAAAAAAAACCTTTATAGTTTTTCTGACTATGTAGGGAAAAAGCATACTATTCTGAAGATTATTAAGAGTAAAAAATGTTCTTTCCCTACACCCCCTGTATAATCATAATGTTTGTAATTATTTTTGTAATTAAAAATCTACGTAATTTAGCTCAATTCATAATTCTTACATAGTTTTGCATCGCCGACGTTCTTAAACTGAGATCCAAGTGTTAAAAGTACAATAAAACTGCCAGCGCAGCGTTTTAACAATTGTTGACCTAATTATACTATCTTGAGAATCTCGCTTCAATTTTACTCGCACAAATTTTGCTGCTGGGTTGATTTTCACAAGCAAGGTAATTCTTGCTCCTCCTAAATGTATAGTACTTCTAGCTATATGATTGAAGACTGGTACGCACTCACTCAATCACGATTTGAAATTATAGCGTGCCAGGTTGATCCATTGAAAAGAACAAGGTCAAATGAAGCAAACGACTGGCTAGTAGTAATAATTGATTAGTGTATTAAAACTAGGTTTAGTGCCTCTATCCTGAGGGCCCATTATTTGAGGGAATAGAGCTCAGTACCGTCCACTCTCTCAAATAATGCACTAAATTTCGGATTTTATCCTTTCGCACTGACTCTCCTCACACGTGTGTACATAAATTTACAATAGGTAATAAATACTTCTTACCACTGCAAGGTGTAATAGTATTTAATATCTGAACAAGTACTCACATTCCGCTCCGTATCATTTGAGTTGCACATTCTTTATGGACTTTGTGAGAACAGGGAAGGATTTGACATCCAGTGAAAGCATCCTGCACGAAAAAGAAATTAAAATCCGTTTTATGACCCGGATTAATGCTGAGAGCCATTAAATTCTGTTTCCACGTAAACCCTATTGTAGTGATTCGTAGCGTATGTCATTGTTTCGTAAGCACGAATGCAACTATAAATAAATGACATTTGGCACAACAGATGCTACAGGATCATTAAGTGGAGATTATTAAGCTTTAGACCATTTGACGCCAATTAGCATAATGGCTTCAACTTAGTTGTCCAGAAATTTGATACAAGAGCTCGAATTGATACACTACCTCCAAGCAAATGCAGCATTCATCATGGGCAGAACCTTCACGACATTTGTGATTTCCACGAAGTTGGACATCCAAACAAACTCCACAGACATCACAATGGAACGAACGATCCCCATGAATTCTAAATTAAAATAAATACTATAGAAAATACATGCATGCAGAAACCCTCGCCTTGCTGACAAAGCCATTGTATTTAGGGAAAGCCATTGTAGAGTGGCATAATCGAGATTGGGCTTAACGACCACTTCCCCATATATATAACTCGTAAAGTTAATCCACACATATTTAGTAACCAGAAATATCACCAAACTATAACTTACCGTAGAACTAGGCATTTAAATGTAACTCGGTTCTGTAGTGACCTTGATACTCTGCCTTCTACCACATTAGAAATATTTGACTCTCCTGACGATCAACTTGAAATATTTTATGAACATTTTAATTCGGTATTAAATACCCATGCACCTCTCATAAAAAAAAAACGAGTCAAATCTAAGAAACGTCCGGGATGGTTTTGTGAAGAAATCCGCATAGCTCAACACAATCGCGATTACTATCTTAAAATGGCCCGGAAGAATGCGAATGATGCTCACAATACTAATTGGTCTCAATATAAGACTTGGCGCAATAGGTCTGTACACTTGATCAGGAATCCAAAAACCTCCTGTATAAAAACACTTCTTAATGACAATTCTACGAATTCTAAACAAATTTGGCGAGTTTTGAAATCAACTATAAATCTTAATAAGGCCCCTCCCCCTCTATCTTTAGTTATTGATAATGTGAGATATGACAACCTTGCAATTGTCAGTAATCTCTTTAATGAATATTTTACCAACATTCAGGACAAATTTGACATGAGTGAGGCAGTTGACTACAGTCAGTCAGCCTTCTCGTTATCTGTTAGGCAAACTAAATTTGGTATCCCCCCTATTACAATTGAGGAGGTTTCTGATTCCCTGAAACAATTGAAACCCTCTAAAGCGACAGGAATTGATGGTCTTCCCGCCCACTTCCTAAAGTTCCCTGCTAACATGATTTCCAATACTCTTACCACAGCATCAGCACAGGTATTTTTCCAGCCTTGTGGAAAAAAGCAAAATTAATCCCAAACACAAATCTGGCGAAATGAGTGAAAGAGGCAACTCTAGACCAATTTCTATCCTGGTTATTCTCTCAAAAATCCTTGAAAAACATGTGTTTAATTCATATCTTTTTATATTTAACTGAGCATGAAATTCTATCCGATTACCAACATGGGTTCAGACCTGGCCACTCGTGTGAAACGTCATTAAACATGATTTACGAATACCTTGTTAACAATATTGATAATGGAGAAATTAACGGTGTTTTGATGCTTGACTTTTCTAAAGCCTTCGATTTAGTGGATCATAATATTTTGCTCCAAAAAACCTACGCGTACGGGGCTACTGATCTAACCCTAAAATGGTTCGCCTCGTATCTTGAAGGACGAACTCAACAGGTACAAATTAACGAAGTCCTTTCAGAACCTTTAACAATCATTACTGGGGTCCCTCAAGGTTCCATTCTTGGCCCGTTACTATTCTTAATATTTATCAATGATCTTCCAACTTTTCTTACTACCTCTCATCCTTCTCTTTTTGCGGATGACTCGACTCTTTTAGCCCATGGCTGTGAACTACCTGATATCAAAGCTTCTTTGTCGACTGATTTGTGTATTACCTCTAATTGGGCAAGAAACAACCAAATGGCTTTAAATTTTAGCAAAACCAAATTCATGAAAATTTATTCAAAGCGTAAGTATTCACTGCTTGATTATGATAGCATACTTTATGAGGATTTTTGGATTGAAGAAATTACTTCTGGCAAACTTTTAGGTATCTTACTCGATAAAAATCTCTCCTGGGACAACCAAGTGGATAAGGTATATAAATACCTTAATTCCAGGCTTTATCTGTTTAAGCGTATTTGCCCAGCCCTTCCACTGAAATTTAGAATTAAGTTTTACTATGCTTTTATCTACCCCCATTTACTTTATGGCATCACTATTTGGGGCAATGCACGCCATGAGCTTATCGACCCTTTGCTTAAACTTCAAAAAAGAGCAGCCAGATTGGCTTTGGACGAGAGTATGTCAACTCCTTCTGTTGTTCTGTTCCGCAAACTGGAATGGATTCCCATCTACAACTTAATTAAGATGCGAAAAATTTTACTCGTTGTAAGCACCTTGCGCAACTCATCTCCTAGTGATCTGCGCGAGTTGTTTTGTTTCTCTGGGGCATCGCACGATGTACATACTCGCTCCTCTGTTACTGATCTCAAAATACCATCTGTCAAATCTAATCTTTCCAAGACCAAGCTCTCATACAGTGGTGTTTTACTTTTCAATTCTTTACCAAATGACCTGAAAGTGTTTAACGATTACTCCCCGTCTGCGTATAAGCATAAAGTTAAGAGGTTTTTCTCTAATCTTAATCATGAGGTTGCATGACCATCTTGAACAATTTTCGTGTCTTTCTTGCAAAAACCTAGTTAAGTGCATTTGTTATTCGCACTGAATTTTCTTTTAATTTTTAATTACTTATATTGTCAAAACTAAAAAAAGCAACATTATGCATGCTTAGTAATACAGTTATTTTCATATTTGGTACTATAAGTTGTATAGTCCCATGTGCTGTGTCAAATGCAACTATATGCATGTTCTTGCTTCTTTGTATATATTGTAAATACTGTAGGTTATCTAATTTTTAGAGGGCCATTTGGTAGAATACCTTCATAGGTAAAAATGTATATTTACCCTCATCAAATAAAGTTTATTATTGTTATTATTATTATTATTATTATTATTATTATTATTATACTTTCCGAACATGAATCATAAAGTATTTAAAGCAGTTGTCACGATAATTTCATTAAGAATATTTTTACAACTGAAAAATCCCCTAAAAATATAATTTTCAATAACAAAATTATCAATTTCCCAAACATATATATGTTAGGTATGTTACCATACGTAATATAAGCTTCAATTTAATGTAAAATTCAACCACAAACGCTTCGCAAAACGTTTTAAAATGTTCTTTATATTAAAAACTAAACTGCCTTTATCGATAAAATTTGAGTTTGAAATAAAATGATTTCAAATTCTTGCATGCAAATAACTTAGCTTTCATTTTTATTTAAAAATTTACGCAACGATCAGCTTTTAAAGCAATTAGCTAAAATAAACCAAACAATAGTTACATCAATATTTAAAACTTAATTTCGTTAACGTCGGCGACTTTGCTCCCTTCGATAGCAATTCTTTCGCCTTTTTTCTCAAAACACCATTAATGTCTTATTTGACAATAATAATACGTAAAGTGTTTAGTTTCCAACATTTGTTGCAAATTATCGGCCGATTGCTTAAAAAATGAGTGCGTAATGCAAAATTTCCCAAACCAGCTGCGTAGGACGGTGTTTTGTAACCTTAAAACCAAATCGGTTTTCCAAGAATGATTTCAAATTCTAAATGCTTGTCGATGAAAGAAAAACACCTTATTATCATTTTTGAAGGTAATTGATAGTATACTATTTTTGTGTGTGCTGGTGTTATGTACTAGTCAGGTGAATATGATGTTTGTGATGTTACTCTGAGTGTGCATCCACACCGGGCAAGCTGAAAAGTTTGCCTGGCCACGGTTGGAATCGAACCCGCGACCTTTGGGATACTAGTCCAATGCTCTACCAACTGAGCTAGGAGGTCAATTTGGTTCGAGTTGGCGATATTTCGGAACGGAGTCTAGTTCCTTCGATATCAATGTATGATATTTTTTGTGTGTGTTGGTGTTATGTACTCAGGTAAATGTGTGTGCATCCACACCTGGCAAACTGAAAAGTTTGCCTGACCATGCACGGTGGGAATCGAACCCGCGATCTTTGGGATGCTAGTCCAACCAATCTAAATTTAAATCAGCGTTTCAACGCTAATTCGATGCTTCAACGGTGTTACGTTTCTTCGGGCTACGCCTCTGATCACGAAGTGAAGTTATGATGAGACAACAGAATGTTGGATCATTTTATCGTTTCTGAGAGTCGGAAAGCAGATGTATTAACCAGCGGATATATTTTGTGGTGTAACTAAATTATAGCCTGCATAGAACTAGGCCATGTGATGTAAGTTAACCAAATCATACCTGCAGATTCCACATTTCACACAATGATAGGGATTATCATCTTTACCAGTTAAATGTTTGCACAATCCACAGTAATACGCGGAAAATTTTGCACCACAGTCGCAGCAAGAATCACCAAACTAATAGAAATAATAGAAATAATTTATGACAGAGATTCAAATTTATTGCCTATATTGATCACCTTACAACTACGATTGACCTACTTTCACAGCATGAATTTTCATAATTAATTGATTTATTTGCCCATATTTTGATTGACGAGAGTGAGTGGAA